ATCAATTTCTGTAGCAAACCAATTTTTATTTTAATGCAACTCTATAAGAGCAAAAGTTATGTGATCTTGGTTGATAAAAGGCTCAAACTAGCCTTTCATGCAGATTCTAGCATGACATTGTCTAGGAAGTGTTTTTTGTCTCAAGCAAGAGATGATCTGACTTGAAAACGTGAAACAGCAGGAGTTGTCACAGTCCATAGTGAAAATTTTGTGCCCAGGCTTATACTTGCTTTTATGCTGACTGCTCATATATCTTCTTTGAAATCAGTAATTGTTTTAGAGATGAGAGCTAACTACTAGAGGAATTTATCAAAATGGATGCAGCTATGGCAGCTTATAGCTACTATGTAGTTGTCATATTTTATGAAATTGTGTTTTTCAGGTAAGTTAACTTTTTTGTTTCTATTTGAAAAATAGTAAAGCATCAAAAAGTAGGAAAATATGTTTTGAAATTGAAATTTTCAAATAGCTAGTGCTGCAATTGATTGCAAATGTGCAAAAACTTACCTATAATTATATTTGAGCCAGACTTAACCTGCAAGCCAGCTTAATTGCATGATACATTGTTCCATTTTGATTTCCATATCACTTTTTAAATGCATGCAACATTTAAAAGCTGCTTTTATTTCTGCCATCAGCTTTCACAGATTCAGGAAGTTAGCACTGTGTCAGTAAAAAGAGAATGTAATTTTAAAGTGTTCTGGTAAAGGCATGGGTCCAGCCCAGAATTTTTAGTGGATCCATAGGCAGAATAATAAACCCTATTTTCCTGTCTATTTCTGAGACGTTTGCCTAGAAATATCAGACTTGTTTAAATATAAACCCATGTGAGAACAAGTTATCAGGCCTCACAGTGTTGTTAAACTAAAAGTTTTGGTCTCTTATTTTCATAAAACCTCCCCTCCTAGCACCGTGCTTTAATTGCCTTAAATTAGCATCTTAAGTCTGTCCATTTTCTTTGATTTTTGCCACTGTGTTGAGTAAGCAAGCTTGAAGAAGTAAATGCTAGAGAAACAAAACAAATAAAGACAATTAAAGACAATACTACATTTACTTCATTTTTTTGTAATTTTTGCTTGGATTAATAATATTTACCAAAACAAAACCAAGTTTGCCATGCCAGTGCAAAAATATCTAGAAATCTCAGAAAACTGGAGGGATGACCAAACCAAACTAAACTTAGCACTACTGACTAGGGGCCATGGGAAAACTTTTTTTTTTTTTTTAGGTTTTGACAGTGTAATGTATTAAGAGCTCTGTTCATGGCATGCTGTCTTTATATATTGCTATGCATTCCTGTTGAGTCTATTCAGAGTTTTTACCCTACATAGGGGGGTACTGTCCTCATCAATAACTTTCTTACATCTTGTTCAAGTTACAGAAAAATCACTGATCTTTTAATAAAGGAAAACAAAGGCATTTTTGTTCCAAAGGCATTGAGCATGAATCCTGGCAGCATGTTAACATGTGTTCTTCGTTCCTCCATTACTGTGCTTTGGTGCCAGGTTCTTGACAATTACTATATCAGATCTTCAGAAATACTTTGCTGAGTCGGTCTTTCACTTTTTGTATTTTTTTCCCTCCTGTTTTCTGCATCTGACTAAAAGGATGTGATTTATTTCAGGTGCTTTTTTCTTTAACGACATTTCTTTGGAAATGGATAAGCTTTTCAGATATATCAAATGCCATCTTTTAATCAGAAAATGATGAAAACTTGCTTCTATGTTGCTTTGAGCTGAGTTAGGCTGAGAAAGTTTGGAGAATACCAATACTCTTGGGGCCTATCTCGAAATATGTTTTAAAAATGTCTAATGAGTAAATCAAGAACGAAATTTGCAAGTCAAAAGCTGCATGAACCTGGCGAGTATGGTTTAATTTGTTAGATTTATGGTTGCCATAAATCTAAAAAAAACCCCATATCCTTCCCTAGATTCAATAAAATTGTTTTCAACACAAGTAGCAATGAATTAATTGCAGTTAATTTTACTGCAGTGCCTGTATTATGGCTTATTTGCCATATTCTGGTGTATTTAGTCACAGCTTAGAGATTGTGAGCTCTGAACTTAGTCTCTTTAGTGTTATTAGTTATTACCTCACTGCAGCTGTGAAGTTTGAATGCCTTTAAATATTGGGAAACTCAAACATATGTTGACAAAGATGATACAAAATGCAGTTAATTTTCTGGCCCTAGACTTAGCCTTTCCTCATTTGTATTTATTGTATGCTTCTTACAGTATTGCTCCTCAAAAATGAGGAACAGATTCTCCTAGGTTTGCAACTGCTCTTCCAACTTGTATAGTTTGTGTCGGGTAAATCCAGGGTAACTGGCAATTCAAGAAAAAACCCCATCCATCCTTTACTTCAAGGCTTCAAAGACCTAAAATTTTCTCCTTGCTCTTCTTACTGCAGCTAGTGATGAGTGGAGGGTACGAAGCTGCATTTGAAGGTAATCATGAGTACTGGATACTGTGAGGAGAATTAGACTGGCTTTCCACTTGCCCTTGGCCATGTGCTTTTTTTCCCCTCTTCCTTTATACTGCAGTGCTGCAATTGGGGCAAGCTTTAGACAAGCTCGCTGATCAGTAAAGAAACATTTCTTCCTCAGTGAGTTAGTTTTCCACCAAATCATCTCACTACAGCTGCCCTGCAGCTGTGTGATTGCTAGATGGAGCAAAAGGAAGCATGTGGGTGCAGGAGTACAGGGGTTGTCCCAAACGTATCATTCTACTGTTAGATGGTTTTACTACTCTAAGAGGAAAAAAAAACTTAAATGTCTCTAGATTCTTTCCAACCAGATTAGGTCTACAGATATTTTTCTTGACTCCATACAGTTTTGCTTGTCTAAGCTTCTAACTCAAAGACTTTTTGTCTGGTCCCCATAGAAGGAACATACACGTAGCTTTTTAAAAATCATTTGATGCATACAAAGTAATCGTAGGCTTTCTGATAAAACATAACATTTTTTCTCTGAAAACTTAAGACTTTTTTATAACTCAGCTTAGGAATACAATGAATGCACTATTGCTAAATATGTTTATTATGAGTAAAAATAGCTTCAATACACAAAGTAGCACATTAACATGTAGAAGGAAATATAACAAATTTATTGTGTGTAGACAGAGTAACTTAGGTAGGTCTAGACATTTACCATTTGTCCTAAATTAGAGTTATTTTTTTCCCCTCTGATGACTTTAGGAACAAAAATAATGAGTTGCTCTTGCATTTTCAAGAAAGCAAGACTTCCTGGAATTTTTTGTGTAGGATCAAGGGATTTAAGGGTCAACTTCAGATGTTTGAGAATAATGTAATTTTCTCTTTTTTTTTTTTTTTTTAATCACATACTCCCATTCCTCACCTATTTTTCCCACCCCCCCAGTGAAAATTCCGCCTTTGATAGAGGCTGGAGAATATCAAGGGCCATCATGTTTTGGAATAGCCACTTGCTGTAGGACTGAGGCCACAGGGCTGCCTTTACTAAAAGTGGTTTCTGTCCTTGTTCACTTGTTCTTAATTTGTGTCTACATGGCAAGGGCATGTAGGGACGGCACTGTAGGGGAAATCAGTTGGCAGTGGTGTCTCTAAGCTTTTTATGTGAAGTTTAGGGTGATGTTTGAGAGTAGTTCAAGTACCACCTGGTGGATTGAATTCCAGGTATCTCTTACAGCACATTATCTATAGTCGTGGAGTGCATCTTCTAGTGTTGTTTCATCTTAAAAGAATCCAGTTGAGGAGCTCAGGCTGCTCAGCAATGCAAACCAGAGCAAGATAAGCTGGAGCAATTGGGAGATTGTTTCAAAACTGTATTTGTGTTTTGAACTAAAATATATAATTATTTGCTTCCTTCAAGGCACTGGATATTGCTCTTTTCAAGGATAGCTTAGCTTCACTCCATCCTACTGAGAACCAGAAGAAAGCAGTAGGAGGTTTTTAAGCCTCAAATTTATCTAAAGCAATAGGAGCTGATGGCTATTTGATAGAGCAAATTTTACAAATGTTAACAGATTAAAAATTTTAAAGGAAAATCATATTTTTAAATAATTGTTTTTTATATGCTCCATATATACAGGGATACTACCTAAAAAAAACCCTGGATACTGGTTTGGATCAGTTGTATTGAACAGAGAAGAAGAGGGGAGGAAGACTGTAAGAGAGGGGAAGTAGAAGAAAGGACTACCTACCCTGCATTCACTGTTCATATTTTCAGAGTAATAAAGTATTATCAGGTTATGCTGATAAATTTCCCCCCTCCTGAAAAAGAAATTATAATAAAAGAACAAATTAATGCTGATACTATGCATTTTCGCATCCATTAGTAATACCACAAAGAAGTAATAATTGGGGATTTTATCATTTTAGGACAGGAGAAAAATAGCATCTTAAAATACAGCAACTTCCCTTCTGTTTTCATGTTCTTTTGAGCAAGAGTATCAGTGTTTCTGTGTAATGGTTAATGCTCCAAGAAACTCTTAAATTGTGTGTTTTGAGAGTGCCTTTCTATAGATGAAAACAAGTGAAGTGAGCATGTTCTAGCAGATCATTTTGGGATCATCCAAATTGCCCATGACTGTCTTTCTGCCCTTTTAATTGTTGGTCATTTCTTTTTGGTAAGATCAGTGATTTAGAAAGCAAAGTATTTTGTGCTTAAATGATACCTACTTTTCAAAATACTAATTTGTATTAGTACTACAAGATAGCTAATTTAGATTATAATAGCTAGTAGATTATTCTGTCCACATGGTTTTGTTTTCCTTAAGCATTGCTATCTTGCTCAAGATGATATAAACAAGAACTATGTCAAAGTAATGGTTAAAATTCTGCAACGTCTGGCTCTTACCCCTTCATAGTCTCTGCTGCTATGAAGCATGTTTGTATTTTTGCATGTCTAAAAAGAAAAATAACACTTTATTTTTAATTTTAAAAATGTTTAGAAGTGTCACTTTGACGTAATGTATTCCCACCTATTAAAATGTTCTGCATTTTAACTAGACACTTTATTCCAGCAATCCATCAAAAACTGGAAGCAGATGGAACGGAAAAAGTAGAAGGATCCATGACGCAAAAACTGGAGAATGTACTGAACAGTAAGTTTTGTCCTTCCAGCAGCAACTATTTATGGATTTTGGACTTTCTAACAAGCTTTAATATATTCCTAGGGATATGGTAGAAAGTAGAAAACAGTACAGCCTCTTGCGCCCTTCCCTGTTTGATAGTATGGTTTTATGGTGTGATAATACACCTTTTGAAATAAGTAGCAGCTCTTCCCATGACTTTCGTCGATGTTTGTGATAACAGAATAAATATCAAAGTAAAGACATGATAAATCATTTAACTTTGGTGGTATCTCAATTTTGAGTGGACAAAGGAAACAGAGGAACTATATGGATAGACAGAACTGTAGAAGGATGAGCAGAGCTAAATACCAGGATTGTAAAAAGTTCGAGTAAAAGCAGAAAAAAAACCAAATATAAGCTGTTTGCAATAACAAGGTCTATTAACAGGATCATTTCCACTTAAAGTGTTGGCATTTAGACTATTTGGCATAAACATTCTTTCTAGAAACCTTGAAAAACTGTCAGTACTTTCTTTTCTGTTTTTCTGTATTAGCTCTAAGGTTGCATTGAGAGAGATGGCTTGAATTTGCTGCAGTTCGGCATGTGTTTCATCAGATCAAAAAAGTTACTTTTTTTTTTTTTCATTCTGGGACTTCTGCCAAGATAATTTTACTTTGTTTCATTGTGATTTTTTTCACAGAGGAAGGGATGTTTCCCTTAGTGCTGTATCAATAAGCAGGAATGACATGCAGATAGCTGACTCAGTGTTGGAAAGTCTGAGTGTGTTTTATGAAATCAAGAAAGTGACATGGAAGTTCACTGTTTTTCTTGTCTTGTGTGAAGAAAGCAGTGACTGTATGTGTGTCTGTGTGGGGAGCACAAAGAAAGCAGAGGGTTTTGTGAACAGCTCTAGCTCGTTTCAGTAGAGATTCATTAATGCTCACAATAAAGGTATAGTTTGAACATTGTTAGTGCCTCATCTTGTTTTCTGGAATAAAAAAAACAAACCCACCAAAAATTTAAAAAATTACCAAAAAAATCACAAAAAAATGTCACACCACTATATAAAGACTGTAGCGTGTGTCTGTCTGTGCAAGATGTTTGGTACATCTACGGTAGAAGTAAGAAGCATGTGCTGAAATTTTCCAGTACAATTCTCAGTGCTCTGTATTTATGCCATGTCATGCACCAAGCACAGATTCCTTGGAAAGCACTTTCCCTCATACAAAATTGTGTGAAAGATTTTAAATAAAAAAGCAAAAATGTTGGTTTGTGATCTTTTCCTATATACACTAATATAAGACAAATTTACCTACAATGTATAATTACTGTTTCATTCGATAAATGGTGGCTGAACTCCGTATGTAGACAATGCAGACTGTATTTCAAGCTGGATCTGTAGAGGAACTTGTGCCAGACACTTCAGAGTGTTTTTAAGTTTGGCTCTGCTATGAAAAGAATTGGCTGCTTTTCCTCCTGATACTTTGCAAGTCATGATGGGTGGGAGGCAGGGAAGTAGGAATACAAGGATTTAAAAAGAGTAAATAACATTATGCAAAGTAGTTTGGGATCAAAGCTTTGTTTCTTCTCTGACCATTGAAAAGCTTCCATAATCCATGAGTAACAGGGCCTGCTTTCAAACATGACTTCAATTCTTTAGTCAAATTTTACATTTTATGGGCTATAGGTGCATGTTTGGGGAGACGCTTGGTGTTGTGTGAGCTTGGTTACAAATTCCTAAAAATAAGGATGTTTTCCACAGCATCTGAATGTATGTTAAGAGGGTGCCAAATTATTGAACTGAAATGACATGGGCTAGTAGAAGCACAGTTTGGTGTTATAGGTGGAATTATAAATGTTTGGAGTTTTTGCAAAATTTAATTGCTAAACAAGCTGTTAAATATATGTTATTTAAAACATATGGTGTCCTATAATGAATTTAATGAAGAATTGCACATTAAAGGAGGTCAATCAAATTTCATTATGTGATGTTTTTGTCAGGCTCTGAGACAGACACTGTTGGATAACTAGAGATTTATTTTGAAGTAAAAAATTCATGCACTGTAGATGAATCATTTGTTTTGAAAACATAGTTGGTCAATATAAGACCTGGAACTTTGTCCATGGGTTGTTTAGGTTTAGATTGTTCATCAGTAACCAAGAGATAAAGATTGTTAATGTTGAAAGGATTTGGAGGGATGAGGAGGAAAGAAATTTTACAATATTTTAATTCTAAAAAGATAGACTTGCATGAAGTATTGAATTTCATTAAGACATTAGTAGGTAATTTGATATATTTCAATTTCTTTGTAAAACAGAAAAAGTACCATTAGGAAAAAAAAAGTAAAATCATTTACCTGAATTAAGGATTTATACAGCAAAGTAATTCATAAAGAGATGAAGATAGAAATCACTGTGCTTTTCCTGCAGTTGTCAATTACCTTTTTAAGAGGTTTGCATTGAATTTAAAAAAAAAACCAAACCAACAACTTTTTGAATATAACTTCATTTCTCAGATACAGTACATTGCTTCTGGGTTGTTACAAAAAAGGACAAGAAACATATGAATTCAGACAAAGCAAATGTTAACTTACTGGAAGGATTTACAAAACAAGCATTTTTTATAACCTTGAGAAAAATCATACTTTACCAGTGGTCTGTATTTAAATGTCCAGCTAGCTGTTTTCATTGTGCATTTCTCCTTAATGGATTAAAGTGCATACTGAATAGTATGCAGTAGAAATAGCTGTCCTGACAAAACTTTTTTTACATCAAGGCTTCAAAATTTCAACAAAGTTTAAACATTATTTAGATATAACAATTATTTTACAAAGACTACTTTTAACATGAGCGGGCCACCCACAGTGTTGACTAGAGAAAATGGCATGCAAGCCACCCAGTGAGACTGATGTAATTTTTTTCATCTTTGCTTAAAGTATAGTCACTAGACCAGATAATGTAGAAACTTCTACATGCAACGATCAAAAAGGCTAAAACAGTTCCACTTTTGTTTTTGTTTTTTTTTGGTTAATTAAAAATAAGTCACAAGTTGAAAAATGCAAATATTCACATGCGATGAAAATCTTCTCTACCATAAATGTAATTTTATTATTCTGTGTTAGAAAATAATCTCCATTAGAAAATGGAATGCTTTTTAGTTTGGATAGAAAAGGTTTTAGGGCTACATTTAATGTATTTATTGAAGAGTATCTGCAGATAGTATAGAGACTTAAATGCATGAAATTGTTGAGCAAGGCTTGATCCTGTGTGTAATGAAGCCAGTAAGACTTTTAATGCAATGCAAAGGCAATTCTGTTACAGTGACCAGCTACTTAGACTTTTTTCAACCATGACACTGTCCTTATCTTAATCGTTGGTACTTTTTAGAGACTCACTTAAATATCAAATATTGCTAAGAATTTTTAAGACTTGATTTGAAAACACAAAAAAATTATTTGCAAAACCTGGTCATAGCTTTTAAAGCTATGATAGCTAATATCATAATTGAATTATATTTTTTTAAAAAATAAAACTTTCTAATGCTTTTTCCATATCCTGAGATGCATAATTTGGTTGTAAAATGTACATCTGGAGCCAAAGCAAACTATAAAATATCTGCAGCAAAAGCTAAGCATTTGAAATAGGAAAGAGTGATTGTTTTTAATTGCACAGGGGTCTTACCACATTAAAATGCTAAGTGGTTCCCTTTGAAATAGTGTTTCAGCAGTTGTAAAATGTTAACACAGTTAAACAAAAAAGTATGAAAATCAGCAATAATTACTCATTTGCTCTAAAAAACTTGAATAACTCATTAAAAGGAAGAAAATCTGTTTGTGATTTCAACTGATTACTTACTCTACTTTCTCTTATTGTCATCCTTTTTGAAATAGGAGCCAGTAACACAGCAGATACCTTATTTCAAGAAGTGCTGGGTCGCAAGGACAAAGCTGATTCAACGAGAAACGCGCTTAATGTTCTTCAGCGTTTTAAATTTCTTTTCAATCTTCCCTTAAATATTGAAAGAAATATCCAGAAGGTATAATCCTTTAAAAATAATTTTCTATTTGCTGAAAGGAATCTGTTGAATTTAGCCTTTTTCTTGACAAATATAAATCCTTGGTTTTGTTTTTAAGGGCGATTATGATGTGGTTATTAATGACTATGAAAAAGCCAAGTCCCTCTTTGGAAAGACAGAGGTTCAAGTATTCAAAAAATGTAAGATATGTACTCTGTTATTTAATGGGTTTGGTGGGCTTTTTTAACTTATAGGCTAAAAAGCACATAGTAGACTAAAGAGCTTTATGTGGATTTGATATGAATTTCTATCCATACAAATTATGGATTTATAGGAACCATTTACACAGTATTTCTGGCAAGTATTCTGAGTGAGTTGTATATCCCACAACATGAAATCACAGCCAATTTAATTTATTTATTCAGGCTTGGTATTACTGGACATAAAAAATGTACAGTAATTAAAATGTGACTTTGGGTATCTCTCACTGGCATATTGTTGAAAGACTTGAAAGTCTAGTTTTCTGGTTTTTGTAGGACTGTCATGTACAAAATTTTCAGATGTGGCTTGTTATTATAAAATGAGTTATATTGATTTCCACGTTAACTCCAGAAGTGTCTGATATCCTATGAAAATAATGTAATTTTCAGTTCATAGCCCTGCTGAAGGACACATTGGTTTTGTTTCCACTCCCTACTCCTAGATTATGCAGAAGTTGAAACCAGAATTGAAGCTTTACGAGAACTTTTGTTGGATAAGCTGCTTGAAACTCCATCAACATTGCATGATCAGAAACGTTATATAAGGTAATCATTTGACTGGTGCCTTCATCAGACATATGGTGTTAGATGTGTATTTAAATGTTTCCTAAATATGTTAGTGAGTAGTTTTACTGTGGTTTAAATACTGATTTTAAAGCTGTAAGTAGAGTATTTTGAGATTTTATGATTATATAAACAATGGCAATGGAATGTTACTTTTTTACTGAATGACTGAAAAACAGTTCTTGAATGAGAATAATGAAGCATAATTGAGTTTTGAATTTAATTTTTTTTAAATCTCTAAGGCATGTTTAGATTCTGTTGCTTTCTCTAAAGCATCATATTGCAAGCTATGTTTGAAATGATTGCTTGCAGTTTGCATGCCTCAAAATAGATTCCTTATTTATTTTTCTTACACTTTAGCTTGGCTGGTGTTGAAATGGAATCATCCTGAGTCAGATAACAGGGAGATTTTAATCCAGACTGTCATTCGAATTTGGCACTTTTACTGCTCAGGCTAAATAATGAAGTTACTTAATATTTCATGAACATGAACTGGTTCCCCAGTTTTCATTAACATTTCTAGATTTTCCATTTTTTACAAAGCTGATATCAAAGTGTCTTGTAGGGATACTGAGACAAGTTGGACGGACCTTCTGCTGGTAGATGTGAATCTTATGGTGCTTGGTGCCAAACTTTAGAGTGCTCTGAAACATCTGATGGCTTTATTTAGAAAGCTTTTGAGGCATGGATGCTGCTAGGGCTCCTAGTGTGTCTTGACAACTTCACTTCTTTTTTCATTTACCTCAAAAGATGTGGACTAAATGTGCTTTGTGGGAAGCATTTGTAAAATTCTGACACTTGCACGAGGTCTTCAATGTTTTGTGTGCACACCAGGCCCAGTCACATAGGACTAAGTGCGGTGTTGGTATCTTATGTCCCTTTATGTTGTGTGAGTTTGAGTACAATGACCTGTGTGCATTTATGTAGAGTGCTTCTCATGCTTTTGCATACTTTATAAATATTGCCTATTTATTGGAATTGTGTTTTGAGATGAATAGTTAAGCATTTTCTGTCTATGAAGAAGTCACTGCTATTTCCTTTCTCTGTCAGTCTTGAAAAGTATAAAGAGCAACTGCTTTATCTAAACCATTTTTACCTTTTCTAAGGATTCTTTGAAAGAATCGTAGTTGTACATGTGGCTGATTCTAGTTGGATTTTGTTTTGTGTGTGGTTTTTTTTTTTTTTTTTGGTTGATTGGAGGTTTTTTTGTTTCTTGATTGGATTTGTGGTGCATTTAGTTTTTGGGTTGGTTGCTTTTTAGTTTTTTGCTAGCCCCTTACCTTGAAGTATTGAATCTTTAAAAGCATCCCGTTCTACATTAAAATAGACTGTGTTAATGTAACTAGCAAATGTATTCCACATGTAGAACAATATAATGAGGGAGAGCAGGGAGTGAATAAATGTGGAATAATTTAGTTCTAATAAATTGACAGAATCCCAGCCTACAAAATGATTAAATTAGTTTCACTACTCTAGATATGCTAAGGTGGCTATACTAGTGTAAATTTTCTGGAGGCAGGGTGTGAAATAAGTTTTCTTCAGAGCACTTCAGCTAAAAGGAAATTAACAGAATCCTAATTTTAAAATTGTTTGGATAAACCCTGCTATTTTTGTGATGTTTTTTCTTCCTTGATACATTTGTTTTGTATGTCTCTGAAGTCTAAGGCTGAGCAAGACCTGAAATACTGTGATTTTTCTCCCTCAGATATTCAGTGTTTATAATTAAGCTTCAGTTCATGTTTTCCTCTCATTGTCTTATGGTATTTACATTGTTAATTATTTTATACGGTCCAGGAATAGTTTACCATAGCACTTAACAGCCAAGTAGGTATATTTCTTTCAAGACCAGTGATAATTTTGTTATTTTATTTGGTGCCTAAGAGAAGACTGAAGTCCCTTTTAACATTGATGAAGGACTTGAGCTCATAATCGATAAATGTCACCCTGTCAGAATGGTTAGTTGTGTAATTTTCTCATCCATCCAACCAATCCTACTTTGACAGTTTATTTTTTGTTCAAGCACTGCAGACAGTTGGCAAAGACAGAATTTTGCAACACAGTCATAATTAACATTAGGTATTATTGTAGTAATACAGCTTTTGTGAGGGAGTAAAACATTCCCGGCACTGCTTGAGGTAATATATCAGTATACTTCATGTTAAGCTTCTTGAATTTTTTTAATCTGTCCTGCATCTCATTAATGCAGAATATAATGGAATGCCTTAAATAGTAGAGCAGCTACATCTGTTTTTGAAGTACTATTTTGAAAGTACTGTTGTTAGATAGTCTTGAATGCTATACATTAGACTATATTCCTTCGGTGTTCTCTTTGAAACCACAGCAGCTGACTTCTAATACTCCTCTCTCCCTAAAGACAGATGGTGTTTTGCTTCTGCAAATTAGAAGCTCCAATCCTTTTTGTAATCTCTCCCCCCTCCTCTTTTTTTCAGACCATGTGCGTACATAAAAACACCAGACCAAAACAAACAAAAAAAGCTAACCCAGTAGTTCGGGTTACATTTGTTTGTTGCATGCATGTGCTAAAATTAATGACCTGCCAGAAATTAATTCTTTCTGTAATTACTTGTTAAGATTGCATGATGATACAATCAGAACATATACAGTAGGAAGAAAAATACCATATTTTATGTGCTTGAGATGTCATCACTGGTTCCAAGTGAAATATGAAACACTAAACTGCAACCTTGCAGATAAATAGTTTGGTTTCCTACATACTTTACTCGAGGCACAACTGAAAATGCATATTAATATGATATTAACAATATATGGTTTTGTTTATTTCTATAAGGTTTTTTTGGTGGAATTTTGCCTCACTAAATGAGGAAGGCAAAATGCAGTGGGTATGAGCACATCTTAACAGCTGTTCTTGAATTTTTAAAATTATGTAGAAAAAAAAATATTTCTTAGTACGTCTTAGGTCTATTTTAATGAGGCCTTCAGTGTGTTAAGTCAGAGCTGTGATTTTTGGACTGGGTTTTACAGATATCTTTCTGATCTTCATGCGCCTGGGGACCCGGCTTGGCAGTGCATTGGTGCTCAACATCAGTGGATTCTGCAGCTCATGCACAACTGTAAAGAGAGCTATGTTAAAGAACAAAAAGGCAAGGACACATTTTTATTTTAAATATATATATATCTATTTGACATTTAGGACTTTGGCATTACCTTTTATTTGACAAGTACAGATGATATTTGGGTTTTTTCCCATCAATTTTGATAGCTTCCTACAAAGTTGAATGCTGACTTGTATTTTTTCTTTATTCTATTATAAAAACCAAAACAGCAGTTGGAGTTTTCTTTTTGTTTGACTTATTACTTCTGAACTTTTTACATGGGAAAAACATTAAATTTCAATCATTTATCTGTAGTTTACTGTCCTCTTGAAATATTTCTTTGAGGTCACATGAAGTTTGAATTGTTCTCTGAATCTGCCAGTTAGATTTCTTTGTCCTAAGACATGCTGTTAGTAAATAGATACACAGGAAATTGGGGCACAGTGGAATAATGTGTCATTTCTTGATATGCTGTGAATGATAATATGGTGTTCTCTTGTTCTTTGTGTGCAGTTTCAAAATTCAGGTTACAGTGTTTGGGCACAGATCTGTGAGCTGGACAAATGGGATGTTTAGACAATGTTATGTTAAGACCAATATGAGTACATAGCCATGTCTTTGCCAGCATTGCTCCTCAAAGTAGGTATTGCTTTCAGGTATGGCAGCAACTTAACTACAAGTTAACATTAGCATATATACAAAGAGAATAGGTGTAAGGCTGTTGGCCTGACATATCTGTAGTAAAATCTGAAAATTGGATTTTCAAGTTAGAAAATTAGAAGCAGTGCCTTGTTTCTCAAGAAGTCTTACAGAATTTGCTGCTAGTTCTGAAATGAATAGGCATATTGGAATCTGGCGTCCCTTGGCTTATAGGTAACTCCCACATATAGTGTTAGTACATGCATATCCCAAACCAAATAAGGTGTTTTATTCTCAGAAACCGCAAAAATTTTACTGATTTGGAGCTGCAGCAGAAATGTGCTGTAAAATTGCTGCAGGAGGCTTGAACTCCGTCACAGAGGTTGTGACATTAGGTATAGAGTTCACAGGGTGCATCACATATGACAGCAACATCAGTAAGTTTTAGCTTAAAAGTGTGCACAGGCTATCTTTGTTCCATTACACGGTGTGAAGTGCAGTGGAACCAGCTGGGATACCAAATTGTTTTCCTGGCCTCTCAGTCAAAATTCAGAACGTTTGCAGAACCTCCCTGTCTTCTCTCCTCATCAAAACCCTGAGACACCACCACCAGCCTCACAAGATACAGTTATCAGGAGCAAAAAAACAGCCATGTTTAATAATTCTAAGTTTTCTCCTCTTGCTTGCAAATTGTTGTATAGGCATCTCTCAGCTTCTTAACTAGAAAAATAAGGACATGAAGATACTTAGTGCTCGAGACTGTTTTGGTAGTCTATATAATTTTGATATGCAGGCTTCAGTGAATGAGTGGAAAACGTGTGTAAATTCCTAGATTTATCTTGAAAAATCTCAGCCTTTTTGGTATTTTTCTTGCAACAAATCTGCTTACCTCAGCCTTACTTTCAAAGGGGCTATTATGTTAGCAGCTTTGTTTGGCTCACAAAAGAGGGAATTTAAAAAACTTGAATGCCCAGTAAATGCATGTATCAATAGTTAGTATTTTATGCATGTATGAAAGAAATGCTAATATGACTTTTATTAAAAAGTTCATCAACTTTCAGTAGTTTTCTTCCAGCCTTCTATGTGGTCCTTATTGATTGTAGGTTTTTGTACAGATTTTAAAATTCTCAAGAATCAATCTTAGTTGATTTAACTTCTCACTTAGTACCTAGTAGGACAAAGGAAAGTTGCTAAGCTTGATTTTTCCTTTCCATAGATCTTTAATTTTGGCATACACCAGATGGGAGATGGAAAAAAGAAAACTCAGAAAGATTGGTTTTGACTGCCAAGTAGAACAATGCTGATTGTGATCAGAGACATGGAATGTATTTTAATCTACTTTAACAGATGTATACTTCTCAAACAGGAAAAGTGTGGGGGTTTATTCATGGATATCAATTTTGTTATGCAAGACTTTGGGGCATATAATCAATTTCAACAAGTCACAAATGTTATTTGTATGTTCATAAATTCATAGGCTCTTTTTAAGAGAAAATATTAATTAATTTTCAAACATTTAATTCCTCCACTTAACACCGGCTTCCTAAAAAGATTTATTTTTTTTTGTATATCAAGCATTTGAAGGAAGAGGTGAGTCATAAAGCTGATTCTCCAATGAGAAGGGCATTAAATTTTTTTCTAGGTTTCCCTTTTTGACAGGGGTAATGAAAATGGTTTCTAGCAGATGGCAGTCTTCATATTGCATATGCTGGAATAAGCAGACAGCGATTATAGTTCCACCTTGAGCATACCAACTATTTCTGGCTATTCTTACCTTAGTTCTTCTGCCAACTGAATGTATGCATTCAAATTGCCTCAATCAAAACTTTTCAGCGTAGTAAACTTAAACCTCAGTAGCAGATTGTATCCATTTTTGCATTTGTGCGCAATTTTTCAGCTTTCAACTGAGCTTGTGCCAAAGCATTTTGCTGCTATTTTATTAGGTTTCAAACAGAACTGTGCTTTGAGTCACTACACATGAATTTTACTACTTGAAGTGCATTTGGAATTAGACAAGAGTCTCTTGCTTTTTCTTACCTGGATAAGTTGTGGGGTTTGTTTTTTTTATTTTTTGAAAACCATTAGGCATTCTGGACAGGATCTTTGTAGCTGATTGTCAAATAGTAAATATTCTCTAAAGAATTTATTTGCTGGCCATGACGTGTTCAGGAAGGAGAGGTTAAGTTTGCGATTATTTTATCGCAATCCTAAGTGAATTCTGAGGAGAATGTACTCCAAATTTAGTCAGTAATATGATAAGCCAACAGTGTATTCTGTGGGACAGAATTGTTCCAGTTGTCTCCGCATAACTAGAAGGCTGACTCATTCATTAGTCATCACAATTGAAATAATTTCATTTTCTTATACAGAAATAGCATCTTCTCCTATCTTCTGTAAGAGATTTAGTGACATATCATCTCATCCAGGCCAATACTCATGGCAGTCAGGAAAAATCCCCAGTACTGACAAGAATTAGATCTAGTTTTCTATATCCTCTGTGAGATCTTCATCTAATAATTGTCCTCTTATTAATAGCTGCACTTTCAAGGGTGTCCTAGTTGAAGGAGAAGAGTGAGCTAATTTAGGTGCTGTTGGAAGGAGCTATCAGAAAATTGTGTATCAGAGATGTGTTTAAATAAATATTTGGTTTGGGTTTATATCTATTTTTCATCTGAGTGTGTGAATCCTTCAGTCTCAGTAGTACTATAACATGAAAAGTTTTTTAAAAAAACAAACCTCTGTGCTTGGATATTACTAGAGATTAATTCCATTTTGTATAAATACTCAGCAGTTGTAATGATGTCCTGAAAGTACAAAGTATCATGGTGCCATAACATAGTACAATCTCTGATGGAACCCGAAAGAAGAAACTGTGGCAAGTTCACAGAGCTGTAATGATCCTGGAGTTCTCTTTCAGAGTTTTTTTCAGGGATTAGCAGAAGTCTTGCATGTTTCAAATACTGTCTGTTTTCAGTTAATCCCACTTGTGTTAATACTATTTCCGAAAACTGAAAGGGTATATCAAGCTGTGCCAAGCTTTGTCAAATAATTTGGCAGTGTGACTTAAAAAGCTGACAACTACCAACAGCAAATTATTCAATTGGATCTTTCCTTTGATTTTAATAGACATTTATTAATCATAATAGATGCAGTAATCTGATCATTAGTTAATTGGCTGCATTTATTTCTGTGACTACAAGTAAGATGGGGGATTCTCTCAAGTCCTGTGTGTGATGTACTTCACAGCAGTGCTTTGGGGTCTGTTATTTCTCTTGAGGAATAGCTCTGTATGCATGTGAACATAGTTTCCCCTCAGTCTAAACAACCCTGTTGGTTTGCTGATTAGTCTTGCATTATGTAGGTTAACATTTCGTTATGTGCTAAGATGTGGCTGTTGTTACTCACCCATTGTTGCCTTTAGCCTATCTATTTCTTGCTCCCTGTAGCCACAGCAGACCTTCCTCAATTATGAGGTAAAAAAGTACAGGCGGATGATGTTCATATTATGTGAAACTGTTTGAATCCAAGCCCGCGGGTTTTAAGGAGTGAGTGAAAATGCAGATATGACAGCAGATCAAAATTTCTCCTGCTCTGAAGCGTGAGTAGCCAAGACAAAGAGACCAAATAGCTTAGACAAAGTCGGTAAAAGCGTGAGGCAGTACAAGGTATACCCAAATCATAAAGCTCCTCTCCTTATATTAAGCCACTCTCCTTTTTCTCTGGTGGTCAGATTCTTCCATTAAAGGTGCAGCTGTAGATATGGGACCCATGTGCAACTGACTGGAACTCTAGGTCTGCTGATGTAAATATGTAGGTTTGTTACATTAAATAAAAAAACTTAAAAAATTAATCTGCCTTACTCATTGAATAGAAAGTTGTGCTTTTTTATTGTGTTTTATGAAGTTATTTCCTGAAGCATAGATGAATTCCTTTTATGAATCCGGTCACATCCTGCTGGTTTTGTCCCCTGGAAGGACCTGAAGTAGGTAAATAGAGATTGCTGCAGTTACTTAGTATGTAGATATGTTAGAGAGAAGGAGATGCTTGAGACTGAATAGACTGGAAAAAGAGCATTTTTTCAGACCGTGAATATAAAGTTAACAGAGAAGAGCATATGTTCACTCAAAACAGTACTTATTAAATCTCTAATAAGAGATATTTGAATTATAAACTGAATTGTATGCTAGTATTTTATGCCTTGTATTGGCTAAAGTCTGAATTGCTGCTTCTGAACTTTAAACTTATGATTTGTGGGAGTCTAGGGACTTTTAAGTCTGGTACCTGGATACTAAATGGCTTCCTTCAATTAAGATTTTACATATTCGTAATTTTTAACTTTATTTTGCAATTCCTCTATCATTAGGACATAATTGTAGTTTTTCACTATGGTTTATGCTTCCCAGACTGAC